TTTTTTTACTATGGAATATTACCGCTAGATTATGTTATATCACAACATTTTGAATAATTACAAAAATATTTTGAATATTCTCTTATTTACGTAATTGTCCATGAAAAATAAGATATATTTACAAAATAGATGATAAACTTACACATTCTTTGTGTAATTAAACAAATCTTGTATTTTTCCAATAAATTTGTAACTTTATGTTGATTTGTATATTTACGACATTAGACATGTAATTTTTACATCTATTTTTGGTGTAAATTTACAGGCTTTTTTTACAGTGTTACCTGTAAGAATCAGGAGTAGCGAGAATCCACAATGTAGATAGCAATTGCTTGCGAACAGGAATGGTAGGTTTTCCCGAATGACTTGTCTTACTTAGTGAGGCACTTAATTTCATTTCTAAAGTTTCATATGCAGCAGGCGTCATGCGAAAATGTTCGCGAAATTGCTTCGCTGTTAGTGACGGAACTGTTCTCTCCACATAACCTATAATGCGCAACGGTTTCCGTCGTACACCGCGTAATCTTTGCTGATATTTTGCCAACAAAATAGTATTAATTTCCTCGTCTGGATCACTATCATTTGTTATATTTAGACTACTTTCCAAAAAATTGTCGCTGGTCGTTATAACCAGTGAAATTAAGCGATTTCGACGTAATTCAATACTATCAATTATCGCCATAACCCCTTGGAAACTATCAAACCGTTCGAAAACCGACAATTCCTCGAGTGTTCCACTATCCCCACCACCATATCCCTTGGTCACCACACACGGGTGGGGGCAAGGGGCGTTTTCAAACGCAGCCCTGAAAGGAAAAGGACCGACCTATAGTTCTGATTTCTTACTAATGACCAACAACTCGTTGTAGACCGGGCTTTACGCTTACGCTCGACCAATCAGAGCGCAGGAGGAAAACTCAGGAAGGTTAGGGCACGAAAAGATAGCTCGAAATGTATTTAGACTGTTCGTGCTGGTTCGTGCTTAGTTGCAACGGTTGCAACGTCGTTAATTGCAATTTAAGTTTTGCTATTTATTGTATTATTGCTGTTTATTATTACAGTTTATTAACAGTTCGGTTAAACTTAGAAAAAAAATATGGATTATGAAGTAGATGTGATTGATGATGATCATAATGATGAATCGGAAACACAAATCAGCATGTGGAGGACATTAATAGAATTAGTAAAAAGAAATCCTGTGTTGTATAAAAAAAATCTGAAGGGATACAGTAAGAAATTGGATAAGGACTTGATATGGGCCAATATTGGGGACTTATTAACACCGCCAATGACTGGTAAGTGGAATAAATAATAATGATAAAGTGAGGTTAGGACATTTGTATGTAACCGGTCTCGATAAGAAGTTTCAAAAATTAATGTATTGTGTTCGTAGGAATAGCTGTACAAAAGGAGTTTTATCGCTTGCGACAGAAGTTTGGAAAAGAGCGCCGGAAAGTTGTGCAAACGCAGGCAAGATCTGGCGCGGGTACAGATCATGTGCAATATAAATCAGATTGAATACTATATGACGATTTAATGTTTCTCGCTGATTATATTCAACCTAGAAAGTGAGTAAATCATTTTTGTGTTTATATTTTTGCTTTGTATAAAACAATAGTTAAAAGGCCTGTAATTTAATTATGAGTGTGCACGATTGTGCGACGACCGGCAATCGCGGATCGCGCGGGTCGGCTCAACTCGCGCACCAACGTATTTTATTTGGCGCCGATATAAGATCCGACTGGAACTCCGGGAGATGTGAGGTGCGGACAGCAGGCATTAAATGGCCAATAGTCGGTTAGTTAATTGCGAACACTTACGGACGTTTATTAAATTAACAAAGGAAGAAAGCAAGCCAACGGCTGTGCTGAGCGAACAAAGGAAGGTTCACTGGCGAGAGATCACCTTGTGACAAGGTGATCGAACTTATTTATGTTAGGCGCGAACAAAGCGATGAGACGGAGCGGATGGTTCTCTCGCGGACGAATTTAACGCCGCGGACGCCGTCGAGATCGCGATAGGCTAGCTTCGGCGCACTGGTGAGGTGTACGGACGTCAATCACTCGAATCGATGCACGTAGCCGCTCCGAGAAAGTAGCCCTGCTGCTGGACCGGATGCCCGAATCTCGAACCGTCGTTCGCAGCGTACCCGTTCAGTGCGGGCGAGATTGTGTGACTCCGTGTCTCCGATACTGGGATTCGGTGCGGCTCACGTTCCGAAGAGGTGAATTGGAGAGTCCGAGGATAGGCGATCGGTCCGACTGAATTCTCTCTCGCAGAGACTGAGAAAACTGCCGCGTGGGTTATCGTGAAACGACACCACAGCTGTCGTATTCAGAGCGATCGACTAACGACTGACTCCCCGCTTCCCACGTCTCCGGCGTGACCCGGCATCGGAGGTGGTTTTGGAGTCGACCGATGACAAAATATTATTGAATTTCGTTAGCGCGACGCAAGTCATCGGTCGACTCCGACTCGGTGCTGGCGAAGATTTTCGCGCGCGGCGCGATCAGCTGGCTCGAACGGGGTCATCGACCCGCATTGCTCGCGACGCTTTTGCCCGAACGCGCCGCGACTTCGAACGCTACATCGAATTCGAAACAATGAGTAATTAAAATAAATAACATAATGTATTACGAGTATGTCTGTATAGGATGACATCAAATTATCAACGGTCTATACAAAAAACAGTTTCCGCTTCACAAACTTCACTTCTTGCCCCATCGACATCTTCAACATATTTATCTAAACAAACTTCTAATGACAGCTTAGATCAATGGAATGCTGGCTTGAACGAATCTTTAACAGGTGAGAAATTATAACGCACATTGCATACGGTTAACTTATTATATGCTGACTGGCGTTTATAGTTGGATTTTGATAACTAGGAATATTAGTCATTGTATTAATGCCTTTAAATAGATGCAGGTTTGGAAGATACAAATGATGAAGTGCTTTCTGCAGTGCATTCCATGGCAGCGTGTTCTTCTTCTTCATCTGTTTCAACCAAATCATTAACTTCAGACAATATATCTGCAAGCACTTTGAAAACCTCGGCTGCTAATATAACTTTCCAAAAACAGACACCATCAGCAGATATATCTAAGAAGAGGAAGCGAGGAACAATTGATGAAGTAGATAAAGTAATGCTTGAGTCTTCCCAAAATATCTCCTCATTAGCAAGCACATTGGAGGCTGCACTTAAAACTCCGGCATTAAAACAACAGCTCACATCTGAATGTACTCCTGCGGTACAAGGAATGCTGCCTAGCATAACCTTAGGATTGAATAAAGTTCCTGAGGAACATCAGATGTGGATTGTCTTATATCTATTCTTTCCTGCATTAATACATTTGGTAGAAAAGACTAAGAATTAAGGAATTACAACGTGTTACTATCTGAGATAAGGTATGTATTAATATTGATTATTTACTCTTATAATTAAAATTTTGTTGTTAATGCTATGTTGTTAGATCTTATAATAGGTAATAGTATCTTTAAAATTTTTTTTATTTAAGCTTAAAACTTAAATTAATTTACATGCGTATGCAATTTAAATTTAGCAGCAATGTTTTTTACAGATTTGGATCTGAAAAAGCCTGTGATAAAGACTGATAATAAGACTGATAATAAAACTCTATTCCAAAGTTAAAGTTCCAACTTTTATATTTTACGTAACCTTTTATTTTTAAACCAAAGTAATTTTATTGAAATAAGCATTAATAAATTGAACTTTATTTTATTTTATCTTACTTTACTTACTGTACGAGTATCTTACATAGTAAAATTATTAAGAAATTAGAAAACATGAAGTGTTACGATTTGTTTTCAGATTAAGTGTTATGTTTTTATAAATTTTTGTATGACAAAATATAAGTATTGTAATAAAAAATCTTTCAGAACGTAACTTTATTGTAATTACAAACCTGTTAATTCAAAACATCCTTAGTAGCACAGTGCATTGGCCAAACATTGGTTAAACATTGACCCAATAGAACCGAATATTGGGTCAATGTTTAACTAATGCACTGTGCTACTAGGGATATATACATACGCATACATAGTTTACGACTAATAAAATGATAATTTTATAATATTTTTACGTAAATGTTCCTAAAATATACATATTTTCAATATTAAGGTTTAAGTAAAAAAATTATTTAAATAACAAAATACTGTACTAATAATTTTACATCCTGTAAAATTGTTATGTTATTTTACTAACATTTGACATTTAACATTTTTCAGAATTTTTTTACTTATGTAAAAAAATCAAACAGTAAAATGGAACGGCAAAATATGGCAAGCACACGATTTTGTATATCATCTATTTTATAACCTAAAACAGAAACAATAAATTAATAATTATCAGAAAATAGAAAAATATTCCTATAGTAATGTTACAATTGTTCTTACCTTAATGTGGCTAATTTATAACTGATGACGGAATGTTCTTTCATATTGCCAAGGGGCTTGCTCTTTGCCAATTTCGGAAACAAAATACTGCATTAAGTAGTTTCTTATGCCATATGCAATACGAGTGCTCCTGTTTGCTCCAACTCTGCCTAGGCGATGAAAAATTGTTTGACTATCTCTCCACGTTCCTCTTTGTATTTCGCCATTATTCTGTTCAGTATCGGTAAGTCCCGGAGGGCAATATTCGGCACGTCCACTAACCAACATAAAATTATGCAGGCATACAAGGGCTTTTACAATTAATTCTGCATTTTGTGGGGAACAGCTTATGCAGGAATGCAAAATCTGCCATTTTGTTTTCATAATACCAAATGTATTTTCAATAACTCTTCTAGCTCTGGACAAACGGTAGTTAAATATGTGCTCATCGTCAGTCATTTTATCATTTTTCTTGGGGAATGGTCTCATCATATAATTTGACAGTGGAAATGCCTCATCCGCAACAAAGACATACGGAAATAGCACTGTTGTACCTGGTAGTAAAGTAAGTGGTGGAAAATTCGCTGTTCCTTTTTCTAAATTCTGCCTAAAGTGTGTATTGCTCCAGACACCACTATCACTAATCGACCCTACAAACAGTTCATACATATGAAACTTTTCACAAAAGCATTATATTAATTGAAAAAAGAATATACTGTTAGCTTAAATTATTAGACTAAACTACTATTTTAAAATATCGTAAAAAAGTATAAAGAATTGTTTTTACAAATTAATGTGATCTTCTGATGAAATATTGACGAAATATTAAAATATTGAAATCAACAGCATACATTGAAGTGTATTACAATTTATTTGGTAAAATGCAAACAATTACAAATTTGATTTTATTTGGTTTATTATTGCTACAGATACATACCATATTGCCCAATATCCACCCAGGTGAACTTATATTCTGCATCGCAAGTACCCAAGAGCACAATGCTAAAGAATCCTTTGTAATTAAAGAATTCTGATCCTGATCTAGGAGGAGCTTTAATACGTATATGTACTCCATCAATGGCACCGAGACAATTTGGAAACTGCCACTTATCAAAGAATCCATCGGAGACTTTCTTCCATAAACTTTGATCCATAGGTGGTAGAAATATCGGTTGCAGTGCTTCCCAAATTGCCTGACAGGTCTCAGGTATAATAGCGTATGCTGTTGATTTCCCTATTCGAAATTCTGTATGTTTGCTTAAAACAGAATCCTCTCGTGCAAGGTATCTGTAGAAAAAATTCCATGTTAATAAAGCAACTAGTAAAGTTCTACGTCTAAAAACTATTACGAAAAATTGTACCATAAGAAAAAAATTTAATCGGAGATTCTAAATACTCACAAGAAAGTCACCTGCAGACGTAGTTTGGGGTCTAATGGAGTCCTTCTGCTTCGCTTTTGTAATTTGCCTTGCACTCGGTCAAGCAACCAATTAAATTGTTCCGGCCACATTCGGAAATTATTATAAAATTCTTCGTGGTTTTGCGTCTCGATTTCACGCACAAGACTTGTTCGATAACTAAATTGATCCTTAGATCGATTTATGGGGCGGACCCACCATCTTCTTCTTCCGTGACCTCGTCTTCGTTTCAATATTTTCCACAGTTGTATCAAATAATAATGCAACATGATAACCAAAGCACTTGTAGAAATCAACTTGGTTGAAGCAGATGAAGAAGAACACGCTGCCATGGACTGCACTGCAGAAAGCTCTTCATCATTTGTATCTTCCAAACCTGCATCTATTTAAAGGCATTAATACAATGACTAATATTCCTAGTTATCAAAATCCAACTATAAACGCCAGTCAGCATATAATAAGTTAACCGTATGCAATGTGCGTTATAATTTCTCACCTGTTAAAGATTCGTTCAAGCCAGCATTCCATTGATCTAAGCTGTCATTAGAAGTTTGTTTAGATAAATATGTTGAAGATGTCGATGGGGCAAGAAGTGAAGTTTGTGAAGCGGAAACTGTTTTTTGTATAGACCGTTGATAATTTGATGTCATCCTATACAGACATAATACATTATGTTATTTATTTTAATTACTCATAATTAAATTACAGGCCTTTTAACTATTGTTTTATACAAAGCAAAAATATAAACACAAAAATGATTTACTCACTTTCTAGGTTGAATATAATCAGCGAGAAACATTAAATCGTCATATAGTATTCAATCTGATTTACATTGCACATGATCTGTACCCGCGCCAGATCTTGCCTGCGTTTGCACAACTTTCCGGCGCTCTTCCCAGATAGCACATGGACGTCCACAGGGTGTCCGATGGACGGCCGCATCTGGACATTCGGACGTCCATAGTACGTCCATTTAAGGCTCGTAGGATGTCCATTGGACGCCCATGGGATGTCCAAAATGCACTGCTTTAGAGATCCATAGGACGTCCAAAATACATCCAACTTTGGATCTATTTTGGACCTGTTTTGGACCTATTATAACGGACGTGTTTTTGACAAATGTGTACCTATATTTTGGATAGGATTTTTAATAATTAAATATTAATTAACTAATTTATTTCATTGTATTTATATCTTGTCATACTTAGTATATTATATATTTATATTAAAGATATATTTATATTATATATATAGTTAGATTATATATTTATCTCTGTTATACATATAATATTAATTTTTATACTTATTTTATTTATTTTTGTTTTATTTTATTGATTTATATTATTTTAACGTGGTGTCTAGCAAAATGAAGTTCTATTTTCCTTGACTTTTCCAGGTTTTCTAGACTTTTTCCAGCATTTTAATTTTTAGTTTTTTCAGCGGGGTAGATTTACAAAAATTAACAGAAAATGACAATTTAATTTGTAAAATTAATCTAAAACAATTAAATTGTTACTTATTATTAATCTTTGTAATTGTTAAAGCATATACTTCCCGTTTATGAATATTTAGTTGTTTTTTATTTAAAAATGTTTTATAGCCGAGTACAATTTATATGCCAATATACAATTTTTTATTTATAATCAAAGAAAGAGGAAAGGAAAAAGAGCAAGAAAACAACGATATTTAGTGAAGGAGGGAGGGAGGGAGGGTGGGAGGGAGAGAGGGAGGGAGGGAGGGAGGGAGGGAGGGAGGGAGCGAGAGAGAGAGAGAGAGAGAGAGAGAGAGAGAGAGAG